ATGATAAAAAAAAAGAAGAAGAATAGTAAAAATTCGTCTTATTTCTTTGGCCTTTATCTTTTTCTTTTTTCTTTTGTTTTCTAATTGTTCTTCTTCGAGAAAAGAAAGTGAAGGATAAAAGAAGGAAATAAAAGAAAGAAAAAATGAAGGTTGCAACGGAAGCTGCACGATAAACCGACGTACAATGCTAGTGAGGGAAATACGTGGGAAAAATACGTAAAATAAAATTATGCGATACTCTTCTCTCTCTCATTTTCTCTTTATTTCTTTTTTTTCTCTCTCTCTCTTTCTCTCTTTCTCTCTCTCTCTCTCTATAAGATTCGCTTTGAAGTCGGAGGCCTGTGGCCGGTTCTTTGTACAAATTGCGAGAAAAGCGTCGCGTAAAAAGCTTGCCCACTAGCCGAGGTTAATACGTTTACCTAGGGAAAATTATTTTTAATTTTTCCGGGCCGCCCGTTTCGCCGAAGAGTATGTACCGAGAGAGGAGAGGAAAAAAAGAAAGAAAACTGAAAAAAGAGAAAGAGAGATGAAGACTAAGAAGGTGAGACGACAAAAAGAAAGAAGAAGAAAAAAATACAAATGAAAAGAGAAAAGAATGAGGGGTGGAAGAAACAAACCCTACCCGCTTAGAGAGGAGTATGATGGCAGAATGTACGCCCATTACCATGTAAGAATTTCTTAATTAGATTCGACCACCTGAACGCTCTTTTTTTTATTATTATTATTATTATTATTATTATTATCATTATTATTATCATGTATTTTTTTCCTTTTTTCCTTTCTTTCAGCATGGAATAAAGAAAAAGGTACAAAAATTGCATCGGATAAATCAAAATAATTGAGCCTGCGGACAAAATTATACGTTCAACTGAATACGAATTATTATATTGAATTATTTGACAAAATTACATAACAATTTTTTATTATTAATTTACGTTATTTTTATCTTCAAATCGGTACGAATTTATTTGGAAAATTTCTGCTGTGATTGTTAAAAAGAAAAATCTATAGAATATTTGAAATACAAATTAACGTTTAATTATCCGATCAATTCAATATCTATTCTTATGGTAAAAAAATACTGTATTACGATAAAAGAAAAAAAAAAGAAATTTACGAGAGAAAGAGTGACAAAAAGTAAGAGGGTGAGAAATTTTCTTTCTAATAAAAGTTGCAACCGATAAGATTGAATTTCTACAAAGAAAGATTTATATCATTTACAATGTAACCATAAACGAAGCTGTATAATATATCTATATATTTACATATATATATATATATATATATATATATATTCTGATAAAAATCTGAAATTGTGACAAAACGAAGAAAAATTTGCGAGAGGGCCTGAGAGAAAAAATAGAAAAAGAGAGAGAGAAAGAGAGAGTACATGGTAAAAAGGGCGAATAAATCGTTGCATGTGCCTTTGTCAACGAAACGACTGGGTGATGGTGGTCGTGCAAAGGGGTGGTCTGACGCCTCTCTCTCTCTCTTTCTCTCTCTGTTCCTGGCTTTCACCCGACTCTTACCCTCTCTTTCTCTTTTTCCCTTTATATGCTGCGTACTCTCTCGTACTGCTGGTGCGCCGCGTACATTTTTATCAATTATTAAGAACTCTGGCGTACACACACAATGGGTTACGTTGGGTGTCGTAGTGGTGATGGTGTCGTCGGTAGAGTCCTTGATGTTCGTTTGTGACGTGGTAGTGTTGGTGACACCTCATATCCACCGAATTTCTCCCTCTCTCTCTCTCTCACCCTTTCCCACCCTCCTCCTCCTCCTCCTCCTCCTCCTCTTTTTCCATTTTCTCTCACAGTCTCCTTCTCCTTCCTTCCTATCTCTCTTCCTGCCATGCCACGAACATTAATAACGACCGTGGACTAACCATCGTCAACCCCTTGCCAACCCGTTACCTACCATGTCCAGCCACGGAAAGCGAGAGAATAATAATAAAATACATACATACATGAAACGTAAGCTAGGTACCCAACAGACCAAGCAGAGAACTCTACTCAACAAAATTTGTCCCATGAAAAGTACCAACTTTTGTGACCAACCCAACATGATTTTCTTTATTTTCCTTCGGGATCTTATTCTTTGATTTTTGTCCTTATTTATGAGAAATGATTTCGTTGCAGGAGCCATTGTTTCGGAGACTTCGGTGCGACTACTGAAATTCGGAAAGCAAGATGGCATCCTGGATCAACCAATGATTCACATCTCTTGGTTCTTACTTCTGAGAATATCTTTCGGTAGATATTATATATTTGCGTGATGCAATATTTTATAAAAATCAATTTTTCTTTTGTTTTTTCTTATACAAAGGTTAGAGAATTTATTATGTATCATAAATGTATCCTTGTATGATGAAATGTGGCTTAATTAATCCCATGCATTTTAAATTTAATTGTTCATACTTGTTCGTAGTTTATACGAATGCGAAATCAATGGTGCACCAAAACTTATCAAAAGTTGGAAAGTAGGACGTAGTCCAATAACTGGCTCGCGATCTAAGGTACCTAATTTTGCATCCCTCGGTGATATGGCTGTGGATTTTGACTTTGCTACCCCAACCCTAAGAAAACCTGAACTTTTTGCCGGTCAAACTATAAATGAGGTAATTAAATACACACTCTCATATGTATAATTTCTTTTAAATAATTATAACAGTTATTACTTAAAGAATTTTTGTTTAAATAAATTGTCTTCCAGTTCAAATATTTATTATCATTATTTTTCTTGCAGGCTAAAAATTCCGTCGATTGGAATCAAATCGAATGGCCCATTCTCGTACTTCGTGGAAATGGAGAGGTTCTTATCGTACGAGAAAATATTCTTTGTGATAAGTACGTTCATACATAAATAAAGATTAATTCAATATTTATATTTTTATTTCTATCCTATATAATATATATATAAATTAATTTAAATATATTTATATATATTTTATTTTTTTGTAGTCACGACAAGCCTGTAATTTATGGTTCGTTATCTATGTATCCTGAATCTGATGATAATTACGGAATAGATTCGTGTTCCATAATGTGCATACAAACTACTCCACCGATAGTTGTAATTGCGATGTGTAATGGAAAAATATACCATGCTATATTATTGAAAGAAACAATGGATGAAAACGAGGAGGATAAAAAGGTTCCATTGCATTGCATTGCTGCATTGCATTTCCTTAATTTTCTTTTTTGGGTGTCTATAAAATGTATATTACAATTTGTAGACCTGGTCGCAGTATGGTTCTTCATACAGTTTACATACACCCGATGATGCACTTTATATCTTTGAATGTATCGAAATGGAACTTGGGCTATTTTTTACCGACGATGACAAAAAGTACAACTGCCCAATATACGTGCATAATGATAAGGGTAACAAATCCAGGTATTTAATTTGTTTAGTATTTTAATTAAAGATACGTGGATTCGAAACGATTGATTTATTCTAAATCAAAATTTGCAAACTTGTTGCAAATTTGTTTGTTCACCAGATACTTTTGTTCTCACAATGCTGGAATTCATATGGTTAGCCTACCAATGGTATCACAGTTAGATGATTATGTCAATAATACGAATGGTAAAACATTGTTCAATTATATTTTAATATAAATTCTTTAATAAACTAATGTATCATTTATATAATATATAATTTATTTGCTTGTTAATATTTTTTATTTTTAGAAAAAATAGAAGATAGTTTTTTACCGTCATTATCAAATGAATCGAGTTCGCATTATTTAATTTGTACAAGAACCAAGCATACTGAAATCGATGAGTCCACACCAATTTTGGGATTTGGTCTAATTCAAGAACCGTGTGTTCTAATCGCATTACTTCATACCGGTGATGTCGTTAATCTTTCCGTAGTTGATCCTCATTATCTTCCACGTGTCGACTTACCTGAACCTATAGTAACTTCAGCACAGAAAGTAAGTTCAATTATATTATCCTTCTGAATTTTTCGCGATAGTTATAGAGAGTTTCTTTTTTTTTTCAAATTACAATAAAAATGAATTTGTTAAAAGGTGAACAAAGAATCGTTTGACGTGTACATTAAAAAATTATTGAAAAACGAAACGTCACAACCAATTACGAAACTTGGAAAACGATCGATGACTATAAAGGAATGTGTAGAAGTAAGAAATTTTTTAATTACGTTTCGTATATTTTTTTTCATTATATTTTCTATACAATAAATATATTTAATATAATGTTATATCTGTTGTTGTGTTAAGCTCTTGTTCCACGTTACTCAAATATTTCGCCGTCAACATTTCGTACGACAAGATAAAGCTCGCGAAGAAATAAATAAAAAGATACGAGCATTGAAGGCATTGAAAACGCATTTATTGAAAGAAACCGATACTTTAATGGAAACGAAAAAAGAACTTCAACAAACGGCTGAACGTTTGGCTGAACGTTACGAAGATATTAAAGACAAGCAAGAAGAATTAGCACGCAGGTAAATTATTAATTATTTAGTTGCACCGATTAATCTAAAAATCTATTTCCTATCTATTTTGATCTATTATCTGTAATAATGTATAAAAAAAAATATAATTCTACAGAGCAGAAGAAGTACTGAGATTAGTTAACTACAAGGAACCTTCAATGAGTCCCACCGAAAGAGCTGAAGCTGAAGAATTGAGAAGAATGAACGATAAAATCCAAGATTTACGTGTGCGATTGAAACAATTAAAAAAGAAAGCAAACCAACAATCGATGTTAATGGAAAATACTGAGATTATTGAAAAACAAAAGGAAATAATATTTAGTAAGAATCAAGTGGAAGCTATTCGAGAAAATTTAGCTAAAATGTAAGTATAACTCGTCTTTTACGATCAAAGTACAAATAATATTCTAATAATTCATTTTCATCTGTTAATAGGACTAAGGATATTAAAAATATGGTAGTCCAAGTAAAGAAACTTGAAGAAGAGGTAGGAATGTGATATATCATTAAGTAATGGATACGCTAAAGTCATTTTCATTATTATCTTATTAATTCTGTTTTATAAGATAAAATTTACGCTTAAAACAGAAAGAAAAAAAAACGGTACAGTGGGTGATCTATCCACTGTATATGCTTCAATTTCAAAATAATTTATTAAATGCTATGTTTTCTTATTTTAAAATTAAAATAATAATATTATAGACTGCAAAAATCAATACTTAAACTTCTATATCATATATCGACATATTATTTTACAGAAAGATTGAATACAAATTTAAAATCTATACATTGTTTTAACGTTGTGTCATACATCTCTTATTTAACACCAATATCATTGATAATATATGATGAGTAAAGAAGAACAAAAAAAGACATGTTTGAGCTAATCAATTAATTCATAAAAAAATAATAAAGTATAAGTTTAAAGGATTTTACTATCCATTTTGAAAATATATATTAATTTGGAAAATTTCCATTATTAAATTTGATGTAATCTCTTTTTACTATGTTAACCTGTTGTGCGCTGCTCTAATATCTCTTATATCCTATCCTAATTAATAAGATCTTACAAAGCTAGTTTTTTTGAATGGTTAAGGCACAAAAATATAATGAGACACATCGCTATCTTCCATTGCTTTAGATTGTAATAATTTAATTTCTAATCTCAATTTTTCCTTCTCCATTTCCTGTTTCTTAAGCTCGCTTGCATAACAACTTATTTGTAATTTTAATTTATCTTTCTTAAGTTTTAACATATCAGTCTCATGACGTAACTTTTCCCTTTCTGCTCTAAGAACTGCTAACTGTTCGTGCAACAAATGATGATCCGCCGCATTAGTTAATACGACATCAGTGTTACCGATATCTCCTTTCATAATAGTAGCACATTTTGATTCATTAGTTTCACTTTCGTGACTACTATCCATTTCTGCTTCCATGGAAGTTGCTTCCTTCATGATCCAAATTCTTGAATCTGTGCTTTCGTTAAAATCGTCGGGTGATTTTGACGTTGAATGCGATGGTGGCGTCGTTGGAGACGTATTCTGTATTTTATGACTAGGAGATGAAGAGTCTTTTGTCATTTTCCCTATATTGCTTGAAGACGTTATAGAGTCTATACCTAAAACTGTTTTAATTCTTTTTATTACGTATACAATACCTAATTTTAATATAAACGACGAGGGTATTTTCAAAACGTGTAAACATCTTATCAAACTTATTAAAAGCATACCTTGAGAACTAGAAGACTGATTATCGTCAACTGTATGTGATAAATGATTAGCGCAATAAGTATTAAAATCTCGTTCATCGACAAAAACTGAACCATCGACATTAACGATAGACTCAACTATTACTGACGGATCACCGTCTTCCATTACTAATTCTCCTACTATTTCTCTATTCGTTTCTATTATATCTCCCTCGTTACTTGTTCCCAACAACTTATTATCCGTCGGATCTATTTCATCTACCACTTCTTCTTGAGTCAATTGACCACCATACGAATCATCACCATCGTTTCCTTCACTTACCTCTAACTCAGGCGACAGACCCTGTAAAAAGATTTGTTAATCTCAAATTGAAAGTATGAGATTAATATTATCTCCCTAAACAAAATAATCTTACATCTTGACCCCAGGGTGACTCTTGTTCCTTCTTTATTTTTTTGATCGTCAGTGCAATCTCATCTTCAGATTCCGAACACAATTTCCTTTCCATTTTCGCACGTTGCAGTTTTTCAATGTCGTGTATCTTTTTAAACAACTGATAGGCTCTTTCGGGAGTAATTTCTTTCTTTTGCTTATTAGCAGCAGCTATATTAAATAAATCCTTAGAACGTAATATTTTGTTGGTACACAAGCGTACATACTCTTTCAATCTTTTACGATCTATGTGCAACCGCATAAGATCTTGTACATCTTGTTTGATCTCGCCACAAAGCTTTCTCTCTTGTGGCAAATTTTTAAACAGTTCCTACAAAATAAATAATCAATAGGAACATTTTGAATCTTATAACGTATACTCTTAGTTGTCTGTTAATATTTTGGTTTCTTTAGTGTAATAGAATAATGTTTATTTACTTCGGAAATTTCGTGATTATGTTCATTATTGACACTAGTTACTTCCAACTTAGTCCCATCTTTTGACGCTCTAAGCATAATGTGAGCAGGACAATTAGTTCTAATTGATCTAGATGCAGAGATAAAATCATACTATTAATTTGTATATATGCATATATATACAAATATGTATATATTTATATTAATATCTTTGAAAAATGAGAAGCATATTATTTTACTAAAGAAAGTAGTATTTACAAACTAACTGAGATTGTCTCCTGCCAGCACCACGTGGAAGAAATTTTTGACCACCATAGATGCATGCATACTTGACAGAATAATATTTTAAACGTTCGCTAATAGGTCTAGCTGTTTTCATATGTGCACCGCTAACAGTTCTACTATCTCTTCTCCAATAATGTACAAGACTGCGTTTAGAGAATTTCTCCAATTTGTTTTCCAACTCTTCGTAACTATCAAACATCTCCCCCAAACTGAAAGATACATCTTTATCCTCGACAGAGCTTGCATCCATCATAACAAAATCCCAACTAATAATCTAAGTGATACAGAACATGATTCCTATTATTTCTCCATCGACTTAGATATGTTTTGTGAAACTATTTTCTTTTTATTCGATTAACAATAACTAATATCTGATCCCATTATCATCATCTTTCCACGTCTATATTCCTAAATATAACACATGAAATGATAATAATTAAATAAAATTTCTTCTATATTTATATTATTCATATATCATAAATAAATTTCAGTATTAGATATTTTTTTATCATAAACATAAGGGAAAAAAAAGAAATTTATTAAAATATTCAAATGGTTATTTTTTTCTAAAGTAAAATTATCATCTGTGTTCTAATTTTAATCAATAAATCATAAATATGATATATTTGTAAAATATTAAATAAGAAAACGTTGTTTCTTTCATGATTTGTAAGGTTAGGTATAAATATGATTGACGTGGTAGAAGCCACAAAATCTAACCGTGAATTCAGACAATTAGAAATTCTTAAGAACCGTCCAAAGTCAACCCCAAATGAATGATTTTTAACTCTTAATAAATAAAGTATTTCTGATAATACATAATTGAACAACACTTTATCACATCTTTTAATTAATTACTTTTTAAACGTTAATATATTAACGATACTGTTTCTATCAATAACACGTACCATGCTTTAGCGCCATTTTTCATCTACAGATATACAACGACCTTCAGTAGCGCATCTTTACACACTGTCATGTATATTTGTTTCATATTACAGTATTAAAAAGCTTATCATCTTATTGAATTAAATATTTTATAAAAATTTACTTTATAAATATGTATTATCAGATACATTATTTATTAGAAAATTTGTTTTTTAAATTACAATTAATTGCAATGTTATACTAATATTACTTTATTTTATATTATAATAAAAACAAAAAAAAAACAAATCATAATTGTAAGAAAAATAACATAATTACATTTAACACGCTCTAAATATCCTATAAATTACAAATGTGAAAATAAATTGAAAAAATATTCATTTTCTATGGAATTAAGTCCATTGTCATTATTTAATAACAGTATTATTATCACATTAATAAATACCATTGTCTAATTCACTATCCATTGGTGGAATAGGCGGTGGTACATTTTCTTCTATAGGTAAAACCTATAAAAAATATTATTTCTTTCATGTGTAACAATCTTAACAAGAAATAACATTTATTCTATATATTTGTTAAGTTAATCCCTTACTGAATTCGGATTGTTTGAGAATTTATTTGATTGTCCGTTATTATCTTGAATATTTTTCAATGTATTTTTTGAATCTGTTTCTGATTCTGATTCTGTTTCTGTTAAATTCCTTTCTTCTTTTAATACTTGTAATGTAATGTTCTAAAAATAAATTGTATTTTTAATACACACTACTAATTTCTTATAATAAAATTTCTATACCTTCATTGTACTAAATATAATCTTTTTTATATGTTCCGTGTTATACGATTCGTCTGTAAATGTTGCCTTCAAAGTATGATACGTCCTGTTTATAATATATTTAATTTCTTTATTTCTATCTTCTATCTACGAATGAATTTAATAAAATATATTATGAATTATTTGTATATGAATAAACAAAGTAATAATAACATAATAAAATTTAAAATTTACATCATTATGTTTTGAAGATACTGCATTAGTTTCTATTGCAGCAGAATCTAACTTCGCAGTAAGCTCAGAAACTTTCTTTTTTAATTCTGCATTCTCTTGTTCATATTCGTTTTTAGATACTTTGAGACATTTTTCTAATTCTGTTAGTTTAGTATGAAATTCATCATTTTTGTTATTCAATGATACTTCCAGATCATTAATTTTATTGTCTAATTCTTTATTAATGGAAGACAAAGATACTTTTTCTTCCTCTAACGTTTTAGCTAATTCTATGCTTTTTGTTAACGATTCTATAAAACAATTATAAGTTTATCTTTCCTTTGTGTAATAAACGCAATAAAAATCATCTAATATAAAATAATTACCTTTTAAATTTCTTACTTCATTTTCTAATTCAAATGTTTCTTTCCTTACTTTCGATAATTCAGATAAATGTTCGCAACATACATCTTTTTGAACATCTGCTGTCTTTAATAATTCTTTGTTTTTCATATCGCTTTGCAATGGATTCATAGTTAACAATAATTTCAAAGTATCCTCCATTGTCGTATCTTTCGTCGAAGATGCATTTTGCAATTCTAAACTATGAAACTAAAAGATATAAAGAATAATCATCGAGATAATTTAATAACATTTGTATGACCATAATTATGTTATTAAGATAACTATATTTTATAATAACCTTATCAAGTACTTTTTGTACATTTTCAGCTACTTTAGACATTCCCATTCTGAGTTCAGCATTTGCTATTCTAGTTTCCGACAAAAGCATATTCAAATTTGGATCCATAATGGTAGGTACTGCTTGAGTTAATGATTGTGGTTGCAAGGCATACATTTGACCATTCGATGTTATATAATTTGACTAAAATGTTACGAATGCCAGATAATAATCATCAAAGAAAGATATATTAAAAATTGAGTTACTATTAAAAAGTGAATTTACTTGTAATTGTGGAGTAGACCACGAAGGAGTAAATGTAGAAGTAGGGATTAATGGTTTAGGGACAATGGGGTTCGTAGAAGGCACATTATGTTTCGATTTAGCCACTTCACGCGTACTTTGTGTTGCAGGTATTTCTTGCATTGCATGTGTTTTTTGTAATTGTACTTCTAACGATTCTATCTGAAAATTAATATTTTCTCAACTTCGATCATCTGGCAGTACTCCATACAATATTAATGTATGACTCCAATACCTTTTTATGACATGGTCTCTTTTGCGGTGAATCATCCTATAAATATATAATATATATACTAATTTTTTGTTGATTGAACCAATCGTAAAATAGATCAGATCTATTACTAGTAAGTACCTCTGTATCCTCAGAATCTGTAGTTGTCGATGTTTGCATTTTTGGAAGAATCGATTGGCCCATTTTAGCCATTCTCGACAATAACAAGGCCTTGTCGGAAACTATAGGTTTAGACAAAGAGAATTGTTCTTCTAACTCTTCTATATTCGTCACTTCTATTTCCATCAAAACATCTTTATCTTTTGGAAAACCTGGACCTAAGCTAATCTATACAAGAGACTAATTATTATTGCAGTTTAAGTTTCTATAATCATATTACGTTAAATAATAATGAAAATTCTAGAGAGTGATAAAAGAAAGGAATCTGATATTTTAAGGACTTATTGTTTTCACCGATACAAGTAAAAAATCTCTAATTAACACGTGTTGTAAAATTAATCCTTCGTTTTAAATTAACGTTCATTATTTAAAATTAAAATATTGAATGTACACAAAAGAATTTGCTTAGAAATACATTCAAGGTTGTCAAGATAAATTTACTATGAGAATAAATAGAAACTTTTACTAATATTAGGAAATATTATTTATCAAATATGTTCATAAAAATATATCACAGTAGAGCCGATATTAATTAAACATTATTAACTCATCTTGGTAAATACTACAAGCTGTTGAAATATTAGACTCTGTTTTCACTGCCCTGCTTATAAAATACCTGTTTACTAGAAGGTATGAATAAAATCCTCTTTAATTCTTTACTGATTCCTATTAGAGATCGTTCCCAACTATCATTTGTCGATATGTGAACCGTCATTGTTTGAAACAATTCATAATTTATATTACACAACTGTACAATGTCTGTACTAATAAAATACTTCAGTGTTACCCTGGATCCTTCCTTTGTAACTTCGTCTTTGTTAACAGCTGTTAAATCTTGATAAATTACATTCTCTATTTTATCCTCCTTTAAAAAATATTTAGCTATAGCTAATTCTCTAGCAAATTTTATCGATGCTTCTTTTTCTTCGAATAAGATTGACCAATTTTCATTATTGTCATCGTAATATGTGGAATAATTATTAGGTTGTATGGTATACGTAAAGTCACTTTTCACTGTAACTACCGAAGTGTATTCGTATTTAGTTTTATATAGAATTATTTGATACGTCCTTGTAGAAACGTTTCCTGTTAATGCTATTCCAAGTTTACCGGTAGAAATATATTGTCCATTTTGTCTACGCAAATAAATAGTTAATAATAATATATAAGCACTGAATTAAAATAAAATTCAGTAAATATATATATATATATAAATGTATGTATGAGATTAAAATTACAATTTGTATGCGTGAATAACTTTAGCTATTATAACTTCGGTCTTAGTGGAAGAAGGAGTCGATAAGCTTTTACGCTTACTGTTAGGTTTTTTTTGAGTTGTTTGTTTTGCTACGTTGGGTATGTCTTGATTTTCTGTATTAAAATTTCCAAAAATAGCAGCTAAATTAGATCTAAAAAAAGAAGAAGTGGGGGAAATATTTGACATCATTGTCATATTATAGCTAGAGATATTAAAATAAAAATAAATCTATTTACCCGCCCCCAGGTGTAAATTCTTCATCTTCAGTTTTAAATATTTTCTCAATATTTGGCAATTGATCATCCACATTCATGATGATTTTATTTTATTTTCTAATGTTTAAAATGTTATTTCAACTTGCTTTTCAATGAATTAAATTGTAAAATAAATAAATATTGCAATGTGTCGAGCAATTCTTTTAATGATTGTAAAAATAATACTATAACACAACTACATACCGACAAATAACAGTAGTATTACTAAAAAAACATAGATGGCACCAGAGGTTCCATTTTACGTCAATTCTTTTTTACACACACATTCAAACACACATTCAATCAGTGTGTATGCAATTTATTCGTCGCCTTGCAAGTTCTTTCTTATGCGCAACATGTTCTGCGCAAGCGGTAGAATAGGAAATTTGTACGAACATAAATAAAATAATAAAAAAAAATATATTATATATTAATAATAGAACAGAAAATAATATCTTATATTGTTTAGAATATATTATTTTAATTAATAAATATTTCACTAACTTAATCCCTAAGTAATATATCTTATTTATAAAGTTACGTATAATGAACAAAGTTCTATCTATAGTTCAAATTAGATAAAGAAAATCTTATAATTTATATAGTATTTAAATATCACAAATGATAATCTTTTAATTAAAATACAAACTCTATTATTAAATCAAAAATAAATAGAAAATTATAGATTTTATAGGTTAATCTTTAATGTTTTTTAATTTAATTTAGAATAATTTCTACTTTTTATCAATGTTTTATATTACTATTATCGCCAAAAGTTGAATTTTGAATAATGATATTTCAATTTTATCGTACGTATTCAATATTCGTTTAAATAAAATGAGAATTGTATTTAACAATTCGTGGAATATATTATTATTGGAATATTTAGGAATGAAAGAAGTAAGGAAAGAATAAATTGTGAGTTTATCGTGATACTTGAACGTATTTGCATCATGCTCACATCAGTGAAAATGTTAGTAATACTAATTACCTTAACTTTATCTGTTTAATTAATGTATTATTATAAAATTATGGTTAAAGTACATACTACCAAAAATATAAAAAAAAAATAATCAATAGTAAGATTACAAACTGCAATATCGTTGATATAATTTAACATTGAGTATTTTATCCGTACGATAAGTTTGAAAAGTAAGATTATCATCATTCGATTATTCTCTTATCATTAAATTTAGAATAAAGTAATAATTATTTTTTATCGTTAAAGTAATATTACATGAAATATATAAAAATATCTAGATCGATATCTCTTGGTTATAAGTTAATTGAAAAAGCCTGTTTAAAATGAAATTCAACATTTTTAAGATATCTAATATGATATTTATTTTTTTAATTTTCAATAAAATCGTTCACCTATTTCATAGATCACTATAAATTTATTGCATCTAATAATTACCTATCTGATTATAAAGATTACATTTTTTAATTCAATTAAAACTAATTAATATATTTTATTCAATATTCAATATTATTTTATTGATGTATGAATTTACAAAAAAAAGAAAAATAATTTACAACGCATTGATATTAAACGTTAGATCGTAATTAGTTGTATAAATGTGAAAATCGATATTTTGTTTAATTGTTTTCTTCGATAATCATTTGAATTCTAGGAAAACACTTAAGAAAGTTATAACAACTCTTCTAAGCACAATTATTGTGATGTGCATGTTCACTAACAAGTGATACAATGTTATGTCATAGAATGAAAATTATTGCGTCGTTAATTCTTCCTCCAATCATTTCTCCATTTGTAGAAAAAAAAGGAAAAAAAATACTCGTATATGTTTCGAACTAATATCGATGAAAAAATGAAGTTTTTCATAGGGGGATTAACAAGTATGTAAACAAATCGAACGCGCTATGACTAATCCTGAACGTTCTACTTTTTTTTGTATAACTGTGAATACTAAAAATGATTATTCATTGTGCATTGCAATTTTCGTTTTTCTTTTTTTTGTAATATTACTTTTTTTAAATAAGCTATCTTGATATACGACAATTGTTTGTTCCATTAATAATGATTATTTCTTTTTCATAATAATCTAATCTACTGTAAAGATACGCGTAACTGTAAGTAAAAGAAGAAAGAAAGGAAAAAAGAGTAAAAAAAAAGAAAAATTCATGTGAATTGTATTTACGTTATCACGATAATAACGTAATAAAAATATCTTCAATGCAAGAGAATCCATCATTCAAAAATATTTTTCATGTTTATCTTATTTGAAAAAAAAAAACGCATGACAAAATAAAAATTAAAAAGTCCCGATAATCGTTTCTATCAAGATTATACTATTAAAGTCGATTGATTGTTTACGCATATTTGTATATAATAGGAGTACATATTTTTACAATAATTGAAGGTAACACTAGTATTCTATAATTGGTTTGTATTTATTTCCTCTATGGAATATTTTTTTCTAATTTGAAATCTTTTTTGTTAAAGGATTGCAAGATGAGCTGTTACTTTAATCAAATTGATAGTATATTTTGGAAGAAAAGTGATTTTATTTTTTAAATATGTTTAAATATATATAAGTACGTATATAATTAAATATAAATATACTTGGTAAAGTATACTTGTACTTATATTAAGTGTACTCTATACATACATTTATATTTATTCATAAAAGGATTTACAAATTATCTTAAACAAATAAATAAAAAAAAGAATACCTTTATTTAAAAAAACTTTTACTATTTTAAAAGTGTGATGTGAGAGATCTTTAAAATATCAAGTATTTCCAAATAAAAAATAAAAAATAAAACATATGACTATAAAGTTATTCGTTATAAAGATGTAAAAAGTATTATATCAAATATTTTAATTATCCTTAACGTAAAATGACATTTCAATAAATCTCATTCATAATTCTTCATCATTATAATTTCTTTTATTCATAATTTTAATTTAAATCGATTATACTCATATAGATTTTCTCGTTTAAAGTCAAATATTACGATCAGCAATTTAACGTTTTATATTTAAATATTTGGATCTATTCATTTTATATTTCCATGAATGTGAGTGTATTGTGTATATGCTGAAAGATCAGTGATCGTAGGAGAAGACAGGGTTAAAGGACCTCTACCATTAGGTGTTTCATTCGGAGGGACTTCCCGGCTCTCGTTGGATTTTTCGTTTAAAAGGGGACGCGGTTTCACTATGTCCACATTCAGTTTCACATTTGATCAACGACGACTACATTGACCGCGAGCTACTATACTAACGCCATGAAATCAAGAATTATATTTAATACTTATAACATTATTATCATCATCCTTATTGCATTAGAACAATTAGTTATTGGTGCACCCATCGATGAAACTTATCGTTTCAATATTACTGGTAAGACACTTTTGTTTTTTGTCAACATTTTGTTATTTGATTAATCTTAATCATTGTCATCATGGTCATCATCATCATCATTATTATCGTCGATATCATTGACAGATTAGATCAATTTATGTTGTCTTCTTTTCGCTTATCGAACGAAATCAATCAAACATTTATCGGTTAGGAAAATTTGGACTGGTCATCTATTGCAAAGAGCAAAGTCACCTAGCAAAGTTACCTAATTAATAATGTTGGAATTTTTTTTACACACACACATGTTTCTAATTAAATAAATATATATTAATATAATGAAAAATTATAATATGTTTTATCTTATAATAGATAACATCAATTAGAATATTTTATTTACTGCAACACATTTTAATATTTTCAATCGAAATAAAAAATTGCAACATTAATTACTATTCAATTCAACAATAACATCTAAATAAAAGTAACAAAGTCCTAACATATATAATACATAACTATAGTTAACTTATATGTTAATTTATTAACATTGCCTTTTTCAATTAAGTAAATAATTGTTTCTTACAATTTATAAAATCTTTCATTTACATCAGGAAACGTGATTTAAAAAAAAAAAAAAAAAGCAGAAAATAATTCAAATTAGATTCAATTAAAATTTATGTAAACAAAAACATATAAAAGACTTTATTTTACTCATGTCAGGATAGAACACCGTTACGTAATGAATGATATCAATCAACGTGTATAATTTCTCGTTAGGTGAATCACTCGTAGTAATTCACACGTTTTTTCTTATCCATCCTGTTTTAATCAAAACTACTACAGTAATACTTGGATGATCGTAGAAGAATGTTGCATATTTAATTATTTGAAAAATTCTTTTTAAGAAAGTATTGCGAATTTATGCTATTCGACAGATTGTCCAAGGATTATCACAAGAGAGGAATGGAAAGCTCGTAAACCATTAAATGAAGAACAACTCGAACGTACACCAACACCTTACGTTGTTATTCATCATGGTGGAATACGTCATTATTGTTATGATCGAGAAAGTTGTAGTAAAATAGTAAGATCTTATCAGGATTTGCATATCGACGTGAGAGGATGGTTCGACATTGGTTATAATTTCGTCATCGGTGAAGATGGGAATATTTATGAGGGTCGTGGATGGAACAAAGTTGGAGCTCATGCACCTGGATACAATTTTCAAAGTATTGGGATTTGTGTTATTGGAGATTTTTCTGGTAAATATTAATTAAATTCTTTTCAAAATCAGCAACATATATCTATCTGAACATTTCACTTTCTTTATTTATCATAAATGAAATTATATAAAAATATTGATCGTTATGCAATTAAATATTTTACTATTAAAATTAACAAAAATTTAAAAATTTGAGAATCTAATCAAAATATGATTAATATTAATAACACATTTCACAATAATTGACTATATATGTAAATAATTATCTAAAAAAATAAAAAACAAACCACGATAACTAAATTAAATTGAAATCGCAATTAATATTGCATCAACCCACTAATTAAAAAACATAAATTTACATTTCCTCTTTAATTCCAAGTATAGATAGACACTTCTTCATAAGTGCATAATGTAAATAAATACATATATATATATATATGTGAACTACTTTCCAGGTAAATCCCCTTCAAGTTATTTCCTCATGCAATAACTAATGACCATATCTAATAACCGAATAGAATAAATTCATTGTACACCTATGCTAATATAACTAAAAAAATATTCAATTTTATAGATTTCCTTCCAAATGCAGCGGCCCTTCGTGCATTAAATTCTCTCATCTCGTGCGGGGTCAGTCTCGGAAAAATAAAATTGGATTACAACGTAATCGGACATCGTCAAGCACGTGATACAATATGCCCAGGTGATACATTTTATAAATACGTTATGGCACTTCCACATTGGACATCTCATCCAATACCTGACAAAATTCGAATTATCACGACTGAAGCTACACCTAAGGTACCTAAAGGAAATAATTTTGACAATGATTATAATACTAATAGAACTGTAAGACTATAAATATAATATCTCAGATTTCTTTTAGATAATTTATTATAATAGGCTGATAAATAGTAGAGAATATCATTTTAATAAAATATTCATTGTCAAATATATTTTATTCGATTGTTCAAAAAATTCGTATTGATTTTTATATGTAATACATATTCATAAATCGATACGAATCTTTTAAATTATCCATTGTAAAACCGTTGCTACCTCTATTAATTTTTTTATATGCTATTTTGTGTTCCTTATTGAATCAAAACAGGATACTTGTATAAATTATATCGAATTATTTGATTAATCTATAAATCGTATTAGGATAATAATATCTTCTTTCCTGATTAGTATGTAATTTAAAAGTAAACCATAATGTATCACCGACGATATACGATTTCGAATATAATCAAATTAATTATATTCTTACGAATAAGAGATTAGGGAATAAAAATGAAAATAAAGTTCCTTTAAATATCTAATCAACGTGTTGAAGTCGAGTATAAATTAATGAACAAATAATATCACTGTGCATAATAATCATGCTGCCAAATGTTCGAATTTTATTATAAGAAATGGTAATGCATTTACGAACGTTTGTTAAATAGTTGAATATTTGTTATTTCTCTGTCACATTTGTAACGAAAAATTAAATAAATATGAAGACATTCCATAAATAAAAACAGCGTAATATCAATTGGGAATCCCGTATAGGAAATAATCGTACCATTCTATCTCTTTTACATATACAGTATACGTATACTTGATGAAATTGTATGTGGAACATGCATCTACATAAACGGGTTTCTATTATAAGATTAGCTTGGTTGTATCTGCGTGCAAAGGTCATGGTTTGACGTATACATTCAGTATTAAAGCAGTCGATTAGTATAAATTAAATGATCATTGAGTATTAGAGTTCCTAAGAAGTTACGAGAATGGCTGGAACTAAGATTCTTCTTCTTTTAACAGTAAACATTGCCTTTTGCTTTGCTACCGAAATTGGATATTTTGCTACTACAGGTAAATATTTGTCTATTTCCATTTTAAAACTATTTTTTCAAAAATGTTGTCATTTTTTCTCCTCGTTTAATTTCGTCAATCAGTTTGGATCGGTCAGTTTTATTTCTTTTTTTATTACGTGACTCATATCTTAGTCCAATAATAACACATATGATACATACAACTTTGTGATAATCGGTGTCATCATGTTGTCAACGTTAACATAAATTTTGGAATTAATCGTTCGCGATAATTAAAATAAAATGAAAAAAATAATGAAACATCCTATCAAATTTATTAAACGAATAATCCATATGAAAATATTTAATTGAATATTTAATTGAGAGGAATAATTCGACCGTTGTATGATAATTATATCGTGATGTCAGCGTTGACATAATAAGATTTTAAACACTTGTGTTGTGGTGCGAAAACCAAATTTATTTGATTGCACAATAAAATATATTCAGAATTAGATATTAAATAAAAAAAAAGATTTTATACTAATAATTATTTCGTCAAAAATAATATGGATTTATTAATCTTTACGCATGAATTGTTCTCACAATTTTACCAAATATTTAATTTTAGATATTCCAAATATAATTTCAAGACGAGAATGGGGAGCAAGAGCACCGACTAGTCCGATATCTGCACTTCGAGAAAATCCACCTTCTAATGTGATTATTCATCATTCGGATACAATTGGTTGTAATACACAAGCAATCTGTCAAGCCCGAGTGAGAAGTTTTCAGGTAATGTTTCTATAAATATTTTTATCCCATTTTTTGTTAAGAGTTTAATAGAAAACGTTGGATGATAATATTTTGATCACGTAAATGAAAATAAATGAAAATTATTTAATTGGATGATCACAAATTATTGAATACACAAGGAATTTGTAGAATTATCATATGGACACGAAAAAGTGGGAAGACATTGGATATAACTTTTTAGTTGGCGAAGATGGTAATATTTATGAGGGTCGTGGTTGGGGTAAACATGGTGCTCATTCTACTCCCTACAATTCTAAGAGCATTGGTATCTGTGTGATTGGTAATTTTACTAGTAAGTTAAACATACTTATTTATTTTCTTATATTTAATATGTAATTTTGTATTTATTTAATTTTCATAGTTAATCTTGTATATTTCTTTATAGATACTTTACCTAACCAAGCAAGCATTAGAGCAACACAAAATTTGATATCTTATGGAGTAGCTAATAACAAAATTAAATCCAATTACAAACTTTTTGGCCATCGTCAAACTACTCCAACTATTTGTCCTGGAAATGCTTTGTACGATTTAATTACAACTTGGCCTAATTGGAGCAACAAAGCATAAGGAATATACAGTGTTATGATTGATCTATGAAGTGTACGAACCGATAATCGTTTTCAATTTAACAATTATTTAAAAATCAGATTTTGTATAACCTTCTGTGTTTCAATTCGGTTTTTGTGTGAATTATTTTTATTTCGTAAGCCAATTCTAATAATGTTCTAAGATAGAAAAGAAATCCGAAAATGAATTTAAATAAATGTGCAACTATTACGTAATCAACCACTTATTTTTGATGAATGCGCGTTAAAATCTGTTTACGAAATGACATACATAAGTTATATCCAAGTCTAGGAAGAAAAGGAGGGGAGAATTAATCAACCAAGTCAAGGATTTCCTAATAGATTTAATATTTCTCAACGGTCATTTCTTTAGAACGTGATATAACATTATTCCATAATCTACGACCTACTCGAATATGAAATATGCGAATGAATATTACATGACAAAATAAAATAATGCAGTATCCTATAGTACAATAGTAATTTATTCTGATATAGTATAAAATAATTCTAATTAAAAAAATTATAAGAAAGTTTCGTATAAAGCTTTTCTATAAATAATCTATTTATTAGAGAAAGCATATTGAAAAATAGATTTATAATAATCAAATGAAAAATTACTACTGCACATAAGTTTCTTGTAAAAGTATAGTGTTTTTGAATCAAAGTCGGTAATATGATATAAATTTTATCGACGATTGATAAGCTTCTATAATAGTGTCAATTATCGATAAAATAATATAATTATATTATCGACTTTTGATAAAAGTTAAAATTTTATTTAAACCAATTTAATAGGGTTAATAAAAAAAATACCTTTAATAAGTAGATATTTCTTAAAACAATGTTTCGCGAGAAACGAATGATAATTTTCGAATTATTTAAAATCGATATAAGTCGAATTTAACCAATTCCCGCAGCAAATTAAAACAGTTTGCGCAGCGCGTGCGCACTTTGCGCGTCTCATAATATTACGCGGGCTAATAAATAATTTCTAAACTTTTTACTAAATAATAGGATAAAAAAAATCACCTCAACAAGAGTTAAAGAAGTGTCAAATAAAGTAAATTCATTATATGCCCTGTTAAATACATAAATTTAATCAACGAGAAGAGGAAACCTATCCTGAACTAATATCATCAAACATATAATACAATATACAATATAGTATACAATTTTCATGCGTAACTTCTAGAAAGGAATTACTCATGGTCTCATCACTAATTTATTGGAATAATTACAATCCGTAACTCGTGCCGATTTTGACCTTTCATTCTCGGCTTGATTGAGCACCGGATGGATTTTTAATTTTTGACTCACTCCGTAAGAAGTTCTACGATGGCTCCAAAACACTCCAACGTCGCAGCATATATTGTAGTCAGACGATTGAAGAGTTCCTCAATTTGGTATTGATGGAGATCTATCAAAGATCCATCAAAGAATTCATCTCACATGAATGTCCGTTGTCATATCTGTAAATTAAAATAGATCAAAATGATAAGTTATATGTAATATGATCCAAAATCATATCAAACAAAAACAAATAAAATGTTTACAAAAATGAATACTTACAATGCATTTCAACGGGATGAAACTCAATTGCACCATGGCGATGCACCTCGCGTAAATCTAATGACGCGGTATAAACGAAAATAAGAAACTGTAGATGTGTTTCTTATCGCGACAACCGAAATTTTATTATACGGCGAACAACACTGATTCTAATTCGCGTATGATTTTAATTTATTATGCGCTCGATCACTGATTCTACAACTGCTTCCAAAGACTGCTTTGCACACAGTCAATGCAAGTAAAAAAATCTTTATTGATGCACTGACTCTAATACGCGAACAGTCTGTGCGACTGTCTAAAGATAAAAATATAACTTTACTCGAACAAACTCTAATGCAATTACTGCTTTGTTCGCAGTCTATTTAATATGAAAAATTTCTAATGCAATCGCGTATCGCGAACAAATTGAAATGAACGAGCGAACGTGATTTTAATCCGTGATTTTATATTATATTTAAACGATGCAACACTCCCCTACATTGCTTCGCGCACGATTGCAATTAATATCTGAAATAGAAATAAAAATAAAATTATGAATATCATTGTTGTAAGAATAAATTATTATAATTATTAAGAAAGTGTTTGAAATAAAAATTGACTTACGTTTATTCTGCAGTGATGAATGCATGATGGGTCTCCTACCCTTAGGATGACGATGAACACACTTTTTAACCGAATAAAAGAAACTTACGGAGTTTCTTTACCCGAGCAAACGAAACTTTTACATACAAAATAATTAATTAAAGCATCATTAGAGATGATAGTTAGCATCGATACCATGAAAAAAAGTTGGAAATTAGAAGAAATATTGTTAAGTAAAATCGGTTAGATTTGGCGGGAAACCGACAAACATCGATGATTATATTTTCACAGATATCTTTCGAACTTTTTAATATTTCGTTTTGAAAACACTCACGTATGAAAATCTTGTGTTCAGTTATCGTTTGATATATAATAGGAAGGTGTATAATACTTTTTAATTACCTGAAATTGACGAGACGTGGTGGTATCCGTGCGATCTCCTGCACCGACGCCGCGAAAAGAAAGAAGGATGGTCAGCAAAGAGCCCTGATTGGCTGATAATTATTTAGACGATAAGTGACCAAATTTAAAATTTTATTATTTCTATCTTGATATTTTTGTCACGATAGATTTATTTCTTTTCTTTTATAACCTAAAAAAGAGTAATATAAAAAGTATGAGAAGAGAAAAAATAAAAATATAACCTTTTATAATAATATTTTTTAATTGGTCACTTCACTTCTAAATAATTATATGCCAATCAGATGATAAAATTATTATTTTACTAAACGAAAGAAGGGGAAGGTCAACAAAGAGCCCTGATTGGCTGATAATTATTTCGAAGTGAAGTGACCAGTATATTATATGATATGTATTTATTTTTATAATATATTTTTTATATTATTATTTAATATATTATTATTATAATATATTTTTATTTTTCCTCTTCTCATACTTTTTATATTACTCTTCTTTAGGTTTTAAAAGAAAACAACGACAAATATCAATATAGAAATAATAACATTTTATAATAAGATTTTCTAATTGGTCACTTTACTTCTAACTAATTATCAGCCAATCAGGGCTCTTTGCTGACCATCCTTCTTCCTTTTCGCGGCATCGGTGATGGAGATCGCACGGATACCACCACGTCCTGTCAATTTCAGGTAATTAAAAAGTATTATACACCTTTCTATTATATATCAAACGATAGCTACACACAAGATTTTCATACGTGAGTGTTTTCAAAACGAAATATTAAAAAGTTCGAAAGATATCTGTGAAAATATAATCATCGATGTTTGTCGGTTTCGCGCCAAATCTAATCAATTTTACTTAACAATATTTCTTCTAATTTCCAACTTTTTTTCATGGTATCGATGCTAACTATCATCTCTAATGATGCTTTAATTAATTATTTTTCATAATTATGTATGCAAAGATCGTATTTCGTGTTAAATTTGATTTTTATCACATACACACACATACAGGCATATATACATAAGTATAGGTTACTCATACACATACACTCATATATTTAATTTTCTTTATATTGTACTAATGTAATTTTA